CGAGGTTCGCGACGACGGCGGGCGTGGCGTGAGCTGCCGGCTCGAGCCTCAGGAACGCCTCGAGTGCTGCGATGGCCTCGGCGAGGCGGCCACGGTACAGCAAGCAAGTGGCGCGGTTGTTCGCGGCGACGGCGTGGCGGCCGCCTGTGAGGTCGAGCGCTGCGCCGTACTCCGCGATCGCGCCCTCGAAGACGCCGCATGCGACGAGGAGGTGGCCGCGGTTGGCCCGCACCTCTGGGTCTTTCTCGGCGTCCCCGTCGAGGCACTCGCGCCGCTCGAACGCGTCCTCGGCCGCGTCGATGTTGCCGGCTTGCAGGTAGAGGCGGCCGAGCAGAGAGAGCAGCTCCCGATCCCCTCCGCCGCCATCGCCCTCCCCGCCTTTTCGCCCGGCTCCCCGCTCTCCCCCGCCGCCGCAACCCGCACCGGCCGCCTCTCCGCCGAGCCCTCCGCCCAGCAGCCCCTCGAGGTGGGCGATGGCGAGCGGCCAGTCGCCCGACGCGGCGTACTGGTTCACGAGGCTGACGTGGAGAGCCAGCCTCTGCTCCGCTGCGCGCGCGCGGCCAGCCTGCGACGCGGCCACCGCCGCCGCCGCCTCTGCCGGCCAGCTCGCCTCGGGCCAGGGCGCGCCTTGCACGAGAGAGAGCAGCGCGAGGACGCGGCCCACCGAGGCGACGTGGTTTCCTGCGAACGACGGCATCAGTGCATGCAGGTGCAGCAGCGCAAAGGGCGCCATCGATCCCTGCTGCGCGGAGCCGCCGCCGCCGCCGCTCGGCGCGTGTGTCTCGTAGTACCACGCCGGCCCGGTGAGGTCGCCGAGCAGAGAGATCTCGCGCTCCGCCGTCGGGATCTGCCGCAGCTTGACGAGACCGGAGAGTCGCAGGTGTCGCAGCGCGAGCTGATCCTCCAGCGGCGGCGCCGTGCCCGAGCGGCCTGCCGCCGAGGAGAGCAGCTGCTGCGCCCCAGCGATGACTGCCCTCCAGGCGCCGCGCCGCGCGAGCTCCTCGAGCGACCCCCGCGTGAGAGGCCGCGTGGGGTCGGGCGCAGGCCTCCGGTAGGGACCGACAGGGCGGCCGAGGAATAGCTCGGCCGGGTCAGTCGCTGCGACAGGCTGCGGCGGCGGGAGCGGCGGCGGCGGCGGGAGCGGCTGCGGCTGCGGCGGCGGCGGCGGCTGGAGCGGCGGCCGTGGCGGCTGCGGCGGCTGCGGCGGCTGCGGCGGCCGCGGCGGCTGCGGCGGCCGCGGCTGCGGCGGCCGCGGCGGTGCCGCCTGCGGCGGCGGACGTGGATTGGGTGGCGGCGGTCGTTGCGGCTGCTGCTGCTGTGGCGGTGGCGGCCGGGATTGCAGTGGTGGGGGTGGTGGCCGCTGAGGCGGCTGCTGCGGTGTGGGCCGCGGCGGAGGCGCTGCCGGAGGCTGTGCGAGAGGGTGGGGAGAGTTGTCGGCCATGGTAAACGGCCAGGCTCAAAGAGCACGCCCCCACGCCCCGGTGCGCCGAGGGAATTTCGCGTGATTTCTTTTTCCCGAAACAGATAAAAAGTTTTCCCCTTCCTACATACATACATACAGATGAGCCAAGAAAACCTAACCTACAGAAAGTTTATCCCGCAGCAAGTTGCGATGAAACGAAGACCGGCGCTGCTTGCAGCACCATGGCGATGGCGCTAAGAGGTTCCTCTTTTCCGCGCCCCCCCCGCAAGGCGCGCGATACGACCGACAATTAACAATGTGGCGACGGAGACCCGCGAGCCCCAGGGCTAGTGCCATTTCACTGTGGCACAGCTCGCGTTACAAAACCTTGATTTTGACCATTGCCCGAAAAATGTACCTCTCGGTGGGGTCGCAGCTGCCTCTGCGCGTCCTGGGGAGGTACATTTGTTGCGCACCGGAGACGACTCGACGCCGCTGAGATCGGAGATCAAGCTCTGACAGGTCACACGTCGCTCCTTTGACGCCGACGTGACTCACCCGTGCAGATCACATCAGGACACGGTCTCGACGCGCTCGGTACGACGCCTGCGACCCGTCTCGGGTCAGGTGGCTTGACGCTCATCGCGCCTGCCAGCGCTGCCGTACAGGTTGCCACGACGAGGTCGAGCACGCTTCTATATACGCTCGCCGAGCCTTCCTTTCCATCCCATTCTTTAGGCAGCCTGGGAACGGTGGCGGTCAGAGGCAAAGCCTACGAGGGGTGGTGGAACCACATGTCACGGCTACTGCCGGCTCGACCCCACGATAGCCTCCGAAGGCTGACTTTGCGGCACCATCATCGGACGATGTCGACGAGTTAATCTGGAAATGGGGGTGTGGGGCCGTCGGCTGGCAGGGGGTTTTGCGCACGAGCTCCAAATGTTGCCGTTGTCGGGGAAGGTCAAGAGCTCGCCGCACGGGACCACCGTTCCGCGTGGTCCAGCCGTCGGGCAAAGGCAGCGCCACTGCTTCGTACCAACAGCCGCCCCCTTTTGGCAGACGCCAAAGGACCACATCTTGCCGGGCGCAGAACCCTTGGGCATCGTGGGTGCGATGTAGTCGTCGGTCTTGCAGCGGGAGGCGGCCCACTGCTCTGCAGTGCAGCCTTTCCACTCCGGCCGGGACTGCTTCCACGGCTGGTACGACGGCATTGCCACCTCGGGGCCGGACGCAGCCGCCTGCGGCGGCGCCGGCGCGCCCGCGGGTAGTGCCGCTGTCCGCTGGTCAGAGCCGTCTGCCGCCTCGCCCGCGCCGGCGGCCGCGGGCGCCGCTGCATCGGCGGGCGGAAAGTACGCGTGCATGGTGCAGCGCCGCTGGCGACGGCGAAGGAGGCGGAGCGTGTCTTTGCCACAGCCAATAAGAACGTGCGAGTACGGTCTTGTTTTGGGCAAAACAAGAACGTGATTGCATCACTCGCTAAGGACGTGAAAACAAGGCCTTCCCCAGGGTAAGTACGTACGTATGTCTGAAAATTTTCTTCGCGCGCTTACGCGCGCGACGAGTTCACGCCCTACGGGCGTGTGGCCTGCGGCCACTAAGGTTGCCAAGCTCTGGTGAATGCGAAGCCCATTAACAAAACCAACTCACCTTCATCGGCGTAAGCTCCACCCCTCCCCTCCTCCGTGGCCTGGACACGGACAAGGCAAACGGCCACGGCGGGTGAAGGCGGGCCTAGCTGCACAACGGCTTGGGCGCGATGACAACTGGGGCGCAACCGTCCCCGACTCGGCCTGGTCTTCTGTTCATGGCCCGCCACAGCCCGCGACGCCGACGCCGACGCCGGGTCTCGGCTGCAGCGCTAGCGACGAGCCGCGAATCCAGTTCCTCCAAGGCCTTGAACTGCTCGAGGAGCTGCTGCCGTTCGCGACGATGCGCGAGGCCTTCAAAACGGCGCAAAGGGCCTGGCGACTCGCACTGGAGCGGGCTTGGGGCGACGAGAGCACCGAGGCGGCAGCGCCACTGCTGCTGCAGCTCGAGGCGCAGATCCGCCCCTCGCGCCTGGCAGCTGGGATAGTGGACTGGCGCAGTCGCCGATCGAGTTGGCGATCCGCTTGCGACGCTTGCACAGGCAGCCGCGACGATTACGGCGCCAGTGGCGGTGGCGGCGGCGGCGGCGGTGGCGACAGGCTCGGCGAGTGGCGGCGTCTGCGGGCATTGCTGTATGAGCTCGCGTGTGTTGTGGAGGGAGAGGTGGAGGAAGTGCAGGAGCTGCGGGCGCTGATGAAGGGGCTCGCGCCCACCCCGCCGCCCCACAACCCCACCGCCGACGGGACGGGAGGGGACGCCCGCCCGCCTCGGCGCAAACGGAGCGAGCCCCTGTCCTCGCGGGCTGTCAAGCGGCGCGGCAACCTCTCGCCGCTCCTGTCTGCCGAGGCGATGCCCGCCAGCAGCGCTTCCGGCGAGGCCTTCAGAGCTGCGCAAGGCGGTGATGCGGTAAGGGCGGCTGCGCAGGCGCCAGAGGCGGAGGCGACGGCGGCAGCGGCGGCCGAGGTAAACGCGGCGGAGGCGGAGGCGGAGGCGGAGGCGGAGGCGGAGGCGCAGGTGGAGGCGCAGGCGGAGGCGCAGGCGGAGGCGGAGGAGGCGGCGGCGGCGGCGGCGGAGGCGGAGGCGGAGGCGGAGGCGGAGGAGGCGGCGGCGGCGGCGGCGGCGGCGGCGGCGGCGGCGGCGGCGGAGGCGGAGGCGGAGGCGGAGGCGGAGGAGGCGGCGGAGGCGGCGGAGGCGGCGGAGGCGGCGGAGGCGGCGGAGGCGGCGGAGGCGGCGGAGGCGGCGGAGGCGGCGGAGGCGGCGGAGGGCGCCTTCGGCGCGCTGATCGCATGCGAGACCGCCGATCTGTGCGACGAGGGGGTTGAGGCGTCCAATGCGGTTGAGACGGCTCCCGATGCGGAGGTCCGCGGCTCCTTGCAGACCGAGGAGCGGCCGCTGGCTTGCGGTGGCACGGTGGAGATGGCGGCAGAGGTCGCGGCTTGGGCGCAAACGACACTCGCGCTGCGCGCGGAGTGCCGTCTCGAGGCTGAGAGCCGCCGCGAGCTTGAGGAGGAGGAGGCCGGAGGGGAGGAGGAGGCCGGAGGGGAGGAGGAGGCCGGAGGGGAGGCGTTGACGGAGTTTCAAGCGGCGGGCGCTCCTGGCGTGGCTGCGGAGACGGAGGTAGTTCCCGTGGCTGCAGGGACAGAGGCGCTCCCTGGGGCTGCAGAGCGAGGAGCGCCGGCCAAAGAGGAGGCGCCGGTGGAGGTGCGGGGGGGGGCGCTGAGGGAGACGGTCAGTGGGCTTGAGGCAGCGCCGGCGCCCGCTCGGCCAGAGGCAGCGGTGGCGCCGACGGAGGTGGAGAGCGGGGAGCGTGTCGAGGCGGCCGATGAGGAGCAGCCGGCAGTGGGGCAGCCGGCGGTGGGGCAGCCGGCGGTGGGGGCGTCTGGCGCAAAGGGTTGCGAGGAGGAGAGTGGGGTGGAGGCGGCAGCGGAGCCTCCGCGCGGCCGGCGTGTGCACTGGGCGGCCGGCGGTGCACTCTGTTCGGTGCGACGCCGTGGTTCACCGAGACACCTCGCCGCCGCTGCCATTGACGCTCCCCCCCCCCCACCCCACCCCCCACCCTCACCACCACCCACCCACCCACCGCCCCCGGCCACTCACTCAGAATGCGCCGCCACCTCCACCTGCCTATGCCGTCCTGCCGACGGTTCCGTGCCTTTTGCCCGCAGGTGCGCGAGTACGAGGTGGAGCCAGAGGAAGAGGTCGACGAGGGGCACAACGCGTGGCTCAGCTGGTTTCGGGAGCACGCGGCAGCCCGCCGGATCCGCCGCATGCGTCGGCAAGCTGGCGAGCAAACCTCCGACGCGTCCCCCCTTCCAACCCTACCGTTGTGGGAGGGCGTCGCCACGCGCAGTAGTCTCGGTGCTGCAGACTGCTCGCTCCTCTGCGACGAGGTGCTCGAGGTCGCCGACGGGCGAGCGGAGGCGGAGGCGGAGGCGGTGGAGGCGTCGGAGGCGGAAGCGGCAGAGGCGGAGGCGGGGGTGGAGGCGGGGGCGGGGGCGGGGGCGGGGGCGGGGGCGGGGGCGGGGGACGAGGCGGGGGCAAAGCAGGGGGCGGAGACAGAGAAGGGGATGGCTGCGGGCGTGTCGCTCCCGTTTGCTCAGCCTGCCAGCCCAGGGACTACGCTGCGCAGCGCCATGAAGCGCAACCCGCGATGGTCCCCGTCGGTGCCGACGAATGGCAGCGCTCGACATGGCCTTAGGTTGGGGGTGCTGCCGCTACCCGGGTAGCGGCTTCCGTGCAGACCGGAAGTTCGACTGAAGGCTCGCTTCTTACCATCCGTGCTTGTGTTCGAAGGCGTCCTCGATTGCCGGGCCGCCCGCTTGCGTCGCGGCGGCTTCCGCTGCTCTGCTCGCAGCCTCCAGTGCGACGGTCCACGCCCGTGGCAGTAGGGACCTTCGGACGCACGGGAGCGACCCGCGGCCAGCGAATTGCGAGCACGCTTGCAGCGGCTGGGTATTAGGGGGCCCTCGTCTCCCCAATGATGCGGCGAGGGGGCACAGGCAGATGCCCGAGTTTGACATCCGTCAGATCCGTGTTTTTCTTGTCTTTCGGTACATCTCTCGCTTCGCTTCCCTCGCACGCTCGTCCGCCGTTCGGGCTTCGGCCATGGATGGTTCGATGGAGCTCGGCGAGCTCCATCGAACCATCCAACTCCGGTCACCGGGTCTGAACGCGCTCAGCCTCAGGAGGTACCAAACCGCGCGAATTCTGCACGCCTCGCTGCACCGCTGGCTTGACTGAATCAGGCAGCAGCAGGTTGCTGCTGCTGAAACAGCAGCAATCTGCTGCGCGGCCCCAATAACGCAAGTTAATGACCAGCATTGCTGCCGGGGGCATTCGAGCCGCCACAGCCGGTGTGCGGCTGTGCATTTCCACCTGCCCACGGCTACGCACATGTGCATGCACATGTGCGCTCGCATTGGATATGACGGCCCTGCTGATGGACCTGCGTCGCCTCTAGCTGCACGAGAGCAATGCCGCAGGCGGCGGCCGTGGCATACACTGCGAGCACACTGCTCGGCGACTGCCGGCACACTGTGAGACCATGGGTGTGAGGTAAAACCACGCTACCAGCGCTTGGTCACATCGGCCCCGAGGTCAGATCCGTCTACTCTGTTGATGACAATACTTGTCTACTGGCTGGAGCTAGGGTTGTCAAACGTTAACTTTGGGCCTAACAGTTGCACTATTGTTGGCTGAAATCCTCAACGTTGTTCAAGTGTTCTCCCCAGCCCAAGCTGTTACTGTTTGTTACTGTTGTTACTGTTGTTCAGTGGTCAGCAAGCAGAAAATGCCAAAAAACCCGGGTAAAACCCCAATGCAAAATACCTGGGGTTTCTCGGGTATTTTCGGGTTTTACCCGCACTGGACACTAGAGATCGTCGTGGGGGTCACTGCCAGGCCTTCCTTATTGTTGTTCAGCCGGCCTAACGTTAGCTACTGTTGTTGGGGAGCCCCACTGTTGTTCTGTTGTTACTGTTAACACTAGCAACACTGTTCAGCTCTTAACGTTTGACAACCCTAGCTGGAGCCGAGCAGGAGGGGGCCTGGCGCACAACCCCTGGTCAACTCAGGGTCCTCTTCCCCTTTAAGACGAGAACGATAAACGACTGCACTCCTCTCCCCCTCCCGCCACGGTTCCGCTGTGGACTGTGCAGCTCGAGCTGCAGGTGCAGACACGGTGCAGCATGCTGCATGCAGACGGGGAAGGCAGGGTTAGCCAGCTTATGGCGCCGTGCCATCTCGATGCGCCGCCCCGCATCGGAGGACGCATGCTCTCTCCATTTTCAGCTGCTGAAACTGACATGGGAGGGAATCGCCGCGCTCGTTTACATCGGCGTTCGTGAGAGTCCAATACTACGCTTCGGCCTCCTCGTCTTCTTCGCGGCGATTGGCGGCGCTGTTCCCGGAGGGAGGCTGGCTGCAACAGCAGCGGTGGCGGCCGCGACGCACAGCGTGGCCGCTACATGCGGCGCGCACAGGGATATCAGGCGCCGTCGTCGCCTGGAGCGCGATGACATGCCAGAAGGGGGCGTTCGGAGAAGTGCACGCCGAGAAGAACGGTGGCAGGGTTCGGGCTCCGAGTCGGATAGGGGGTCTGCCGCGCAACGGCGGCGCGGGAGCACGGCGCGATTAGCCGCGAAACGGGGTCTACCGACGTACGAGGAGCCGCCTGCGGTTGGGACGCCAGCCGAGACGGCTACGGCGCCGGCGGGCGCCGGCGACAGCAGCGCCGCCTGAGACATGTGTTCTGCTTCGCTGCGCGGCCTGAGAATAGGTTAAGGGGCCGGGGCACGGAGCTCAGAGGGCCTGGCGGTCGGTCGGTGCCCGCAATAGGGAGGTATAGGTAGGGCGTTTTGGGCTTTTGGCGCGAGTCAGGCCCCTTGACGGTGCCGGGGGAAAGAGATAGACTCAGACTCTTCGAAAAGAAAACGCTTGTTCCTTTTCACAACGAAGTCTAGCTCAAAAGAAAAACCAAGTCTCCAACTCGCTGCTCCCCGTAGCCCACGTAGCCGGCTGCGTCCTGCCTGGAGTGCGGTGTAGGAGTGGCCGGCGCAGGTTCGAGTGTTACCCACATGGTCGCATGCGCTGTACGCTGGCTCTCGGCGGCTGCTGTGGCCTCGCTGGCCCTCCTCTGGCGCCGCATTCGGCCGATCGTACGCTTGAGCGTTCACGCTCTGCAGGAGCGATCGCACGAGCTCTACGCGGCGAAGCGGTTTGATGAGGCGCTGGAGGCTGCCGCTGCAGCGAGGGATTTGGCACGCAATGAGCTGGGTGAGGAGTCGAGCACGCACCAGCGGATGATCTTCCACCTGGCCGCAGTGCTTGCGGCGATGCGACGCCACGAGGAGACGGGTGCATTGCTCAGTGAGTGTGAGGTGCTCGCATGCCGCATGCATGGTGACAGCAGCTTGGCGCTCGTGCCGATCTGCCACGCCCGCGCGGAGCTGCACGAAGCCGCAGGAGACTACGCTCTGGCCATCGCAGCACTTGAACGAGCGCGGGATCTGCGGCACGACTCGCTCGGTTCTGCGCATCCCGATTATGCTCGTTCTTGCTTCAACCTTGCCGGGCTGCTCTTGTGCCGCGCTTTCCGGGCGCGGGGCCATACTACGATGCACGTCCTCCTTAATCACCACATGCCTGCCTCGAAGGCGCCATGCAAACGAGGTCCTCGTCATGAGCGATCGGCAGCGCGCCGTGCTCGCAGGGCGCGCCGTAGACAGCGGGTGAGTTTGGGCGTGGTTGGTCTCCCTCTCGCTGCGGTTGCCTCCGTCTCACCGCGGGCAGCCCTTGTCACCCAGGCTAGAGGCGGCGGCCGTTTCCGCGGATGCGGAGCAAGCAAAGGAGTTTGTGCAGGTGAGCCAATGGCGCTTGGCGCACGGCGCGGTGGTCGTCACCGCACACACGCGATTGAGAGTTGTTCCAACCCTGCCAGGCATTGCTCGAGCTCATACTCTACGGTGGCTGGCCGAACCGTCTCAAAGAGCTTCCCGACTGCAAGGGCGCCATCGGGCGGCTAGAGAGCTGGCTCGCCGAACGCAACTTTCCTCTTCCTTCGGACCCCGCGCTGTGCGAGAGCAGTGATGACGGACTGGAGGTGTCTGACTCTGAGAGTGTGAGTGAAGCTGGCGGCGAGGCTGAGGGCGAGCGCCGAGCCTGAGGCCTGAGACTATTGTGCATCGTGTGCTCAGGTACTCGATTAACGATTTATGCTATATATGCACGATTATGTGGAGATACGCCCCGGCGCGATGGACGTGTGTGGTGTGACTGTGAGAGAGTTGATGAGGAGTGTACACGTCTCGCTCTCTCGCGGTGCGCGCTCTTTTGCCTTTCTTTCTTTCGAGACAGCAGACAGAGCTCAGAGGTACTTACCGCTTAGGAAGAGAGGTCCGCTCGGGGCGCTGGAGCAGCGCCTTCCTCCACGGCGGGCCGGCGGGCGTCGCGACTGCGAAGCGGTCCTCGCCCGGGGCGGCCTCGGCAGCGGCAACGTCGGCCGGGCAGAAGGCGGCCTGGAGGTACGCGTCGAACGCGGCGCGCAGCGCCGCGCGCACCGGTGCGGCCCTGTGCATGAGCTCGACCTGCGCGGCGCGGTACTCGTCGCGGCCTGACGGCAGCTCGACCCGAATCGGCGGCAACCCGTAGGCGGAGGCGTCATAAGGCGACGCGGCGACGTCGAGCGAGCGCGCCGCGATGGCCACCTCGAGCGCGTCGGCCAGCAGCTCCGCCGGCAGCCAGGGCGAGAGGCGCAGCGCCGCCTTGAGCAGGTCCATGTGCGCATGCACGCAGCCGGGCTGCTCGAGCCGCAGCTGGTCGATCCGCTCGAGCCGGCCGCCGTGGCGGTTGTGCCTCGCCGCGGCGGGTGCGAAGAAGCGCAGCGCGTCCACATGCGTGCAGCTCACGCCCCCCTCGACCGCCGCGTTGAGCGTCTCGCGGTCGACGCGCAGCTGCAGCGCGCTGCCCTGATAGCGAGCCGAGGGCGGCTCCGGCGCCCCCTCGGGGTGGTAGAGCATCGCCCACTCGTGCAGCCCGTAGCAGGAGGTGATTGGCGGCGCCGCCTCGGTGGCGGCGAGCACGTCGCGGTGCCACAGGAAGGGCGACGCGTCGGCGGGCACACAGGCAGCGGGGTCGTACAGCACGCCGCCGCCACCGTCGAGGACCTGCGCGCCGCGGAGGTGGAGGGTGCCGTCGCCCAAGTCGTCGGCGGTGGCGGCCTCGAGCAGCACCCCGCCGGGCGACTCGAGGGGCGGCGACCAGCGCGCGAGCCGCCGCGGCCCCTTCCCCCCCGTAACGCCGTAGTACTGCTCAAAGAAGTTGAAGACGGGGTGGGCCGTGTCGAGCTTGCGGAAGCCGTCGGCAGCGCCCGCCATGCGTGCCGACGGCTCGCCACGCTTGGTGAGGGCTGGCGGCGGCGCCGGCGCGAAGCCAGGCGAGAGCAGGCGGCGAACACGAGAGCGGTGCAGCTCTGCCGCCAATCGCCACTCCCGCTCGGGTATCAGTCGCGAAGAGGAGGCGCTGAGTGCAGCTGGCGCCGCGAGCAAGCCGACGGCGAAAAGAGGCATATCCACCCACCAGAGTAGGGCACAAGGAAAGCGTGCGCGTTGGCCACCCGCGTGCTGCGCCGCGTGCGCCACCGTGTCCCACACCAGGCGTCTGAGACGTTCGGGCCCTTGCCAAGTAGGGAGTCTGCAGCATAGGTAGGTAGGGGTGGGCTCACACCGCCTGTCCGGTGCCCCCGATCTTTTCGCGAGTTTTGGGAACGCCAGATCCTTAAGGCTAGATTAAAAAAAAGACCAAACGTCACGCTCGCGCCAAGCGGTGCAACCAGTAAGAAGCGCACCTGAGCGGCCACAACCAGTGCCGACCAGTGTCGACCACCGCCCGTGTATGGGCCGCCTCGCCGCCTCCCTCGAGGTGCTCAAGGGCGAGCTGCGCCGCGCCAAGTACGACGAGGGCCCGCTCGACGCGGACGCCCTCTTGAGCGGCGACCCTTCCGCGTACCTGCGGCTGCTGCACTTTGCGCTGCTGCGCTGCTCCACGGATGTCGCCCGCTGGTTGGCAGAGCTCGGCTACGAGCTCTACGCCAAGTCCGACGCGCGGTTCGTCGAGTGCGTGTGGCGGCTGATGAGACAGGAGCTCGGCTACCGCCACGCCCTCTCCACCAAGCAGTTCCTCTCCGCCGGCTTTGCCGAGCGCAAGTTGCAGCTGACCATCGAGAGCCTCCGCCTCGTGAGCGCAAAGCACGCCGACCTCGGGCGGTCGGCGCGCCGCCCGGTCGGCGTGGACTACAAGGCGCTGGCGGAGCTGGCTCAGCCGCGCACGCCAAACGCGGCAACAGCCGACGCGAGGCAGCCGCCTCTGACGGTGGAGGCCTCCCGGACGCGGGCGCCTCGGCCAGCAGCTGCCGCCGCTGCCGCGGCCGCATCGGCCGCCGCGGAGGAGGCCATAGCCGCCGCTGGCCGGCCCTCCGCTCCGCGGTCCTCTGCCGACAGGCGTTGCACCTCAGACAGCACGCTCCGCCCTCTCTTGCGCCCACCCTCCGCGCCCACCCGGGAGGCAATGCGAGAGCCGCAGCCGCCTGTCCACCCTCAGTCGCAGTACTGCATCTTTGCCGCCACCGCGGGCTCGCCGGCGGCCGAGTGGGGCGCTGAGCCCGCCGAACCAGCTCAGTCCGCCGGCCAGTCCGTTTGCGGCGGCGCTTCTCTGCTCGCTCCTCCAGCGGCGCCGCCTCTCGGCGGTGAAATCGCGCAACCGAGGTTCGACAGCCTCTCAGTATACGGTGCGGCGTCGGGCGGCGGCGCGGCACCAGAGCCTCTTGCCTCGCCCTACCTCGCCCTGCCCCCCTCCCCGTCCACGTTGGCGCCCGCGACGACCGCGCAAGTCGAGGCGGCGCCGCTCGAGGAGCTGTTTCTCTCTGACGCGCGCCCGCCAGAGGCGTCGCATGCGGAGCCCGCGGAAAAGGGACGCCTCGGCGTGGCGCGTGACGCGTGGCTCGCGGAGCCCGCTCAGCCAACTGCGTTGGCGGCGCTGCCGCACCCCGCTGGCGAGTCGCACACATTTCCCGCCGCAGAGCTGCAGGCTGCGAGCCGCGACGAGCCGAGCTGCCACCAGCTCGCACAGCTCGAGCGGATAGTCGGCGGCGCGTGCCGCGCCGTCGAGTCGCTGGTGCAGCACTCAGACGCCTCCTTCGCGCGAATCGGGGCCCGCCTCACCCTCCTCGAGGGGCGCGTCAAGCTCATTGAGGCATACCTCCCAGCCGCCGCCCCCGCCCCCGCCGCCGCCGCCGCCGCCGCCGCCGCCGCCGCCGTGATCCCGCCCGTTTGCAAATCGGGCGCCGAGAGCGCTGTGGCTGCCGACAGCTCTGCTGCAATCGAGGACTCCGCCGCAAAGGAAGGTCCTGACGAGTGCGACAAGGCCGCCACTTCGCCGCGCTCTTGCAAACCGCTGGCGGTGCGCGTTTGCAGCCCCGCTGTCAAACTCGAGACGCGGCCAACGGAGGCGTTCATCTCCGAGTTTGAGCGCCGGCTCGATCACACGCGAGCGCTGCTCGCCCACCTGGATGAGGCTGAGGACGGAGCAGCTGGCACCTGACACACTCTAATCGCCATCAGCCTCAGCCACAAGTGGAGCGGTGCATGAACACCCAGCAGCAACGCTGAGTCTCTCGGGCCGCACATACACCCCCCGTCCGATCAGTTGACAATTCACTGAGCCGTGGGAGCCTGAGAACACTTTATATACACTAGTGTGTGAACCAGGGCGACGGGCCCCGACGGCGGCGATGTTGCCGGTGACCGGTGTGCGTTATCCAAAAAAATCCCATGATTTAACGCAAACGCCCACCATTTCTCGGGGGGGTACGTGGTTACCCAGAAGAGCCGCAACGGCGCAAATGGGACGGTAGGAGTACTGTGGAAAAAGCCAAAAATCGTGTAAAAACCGCGACCTAGCTGCGCAACAAGCCGCAACCATCCGCAAATGCGCTCCGTCGGGGGCGCGCATTGCCAAAGAGAGGCTCATCCCCCTGGGAGACGTGGTAGATGGAGAGCGGTCGCTGGACGACGGAGTTTCCGACGTACATCACGCTGTCCGCGGCGGCTGACGCGCCGCCGACGGTGCGCCGCTTCGACGCCGGCCCTCCTCTGCTCTCGCGCAAGACGGGCAGCGCCGCGTCGCCGTCGAGCTCCTGCGGCGCGTACGGCCCTGTGAGCGGACTGTCCCGTGATTCTCGGGCGTGCCCCGTGAATCGGCGCAATGCACCTCCCAACTGTCGGGCGGGGGCGACGAGCGGCCGGCGCGCTAGAGCAAAAGAGACGAAACCGGGTGAGGGAACGCCGCACGAACATAGCGGACACGCGCGCGACGGCTCACCGCCGCAGCTGGCTTTGGCGGAAGCAGGTCGTGCGAGAGGGCCAGCTGCCGGTCGACGCGCGAGATGCGCCGCAGCCCGTCGCGAGTGAGCCACGCGCAGCACCGAAGGGACAGCCGCCGCAACGCCGGCATCGCGGCAACGGCGTCGAGCAAGAGGCTCGCCTAGAGGGGCGGGAACGGAGGGCGGCGGTGCGGGCAGGGCGCCCCGCACGATGCGCCACATGCTACGCCGCCCGCACCGCCGCCTCGCCGGCCGAATCATCGCAGGGCGCTACCCCTACGCCGGCGGTGCAACCGGAGGGCAGCAGCTCCGTCTCAGAGAGGTCGAGCTCCCGGAGGCGGGAGAGGCGGGCGAGGCGCCGCCCAAAGGCACGCGCACACAGCCGCGCGTCGGAGAGGCAGAGTGAGCGCAGCTGCACCAGCTCGAGCGCCTGTCGCCGCCGCGGAGGGGAGGCTGAGCCGCCGCGCAGGTGTGCGGGCAGGCGCTGCCGCGCGCCTCCTCAGCGTCGGAAGCAGAGAGGGAGCAGCCTCCGAGGTCAAGGAAGGTGAGCGAGGCTGCCAGCGCCGACCCCGGCCGGAGGAGTGTGAGCACGCTCCCGCGCTCGAGCGTGCAGCCGTGCAGCCGCAGGGCGGACATTGGCGCGCGCGAGAGCGACTGGAGCGCCTCGGGCGGAAGGTGTAGCCCAGAGAGGTCGAGGGCGCGCAGGCCAGGGCATGCGCCAAGGAGGGCGGGCACGAGCCGGTGCTGCGAGAAGAGGCAGGCTGGGGCCGGCCGCGAGCCGACAACCATCGTCGGGACGGCGAGGCAGCCGGCGAGGTCGAGGCTGCATAGTCCGCCGCCGCCTCTCCGCTTGAGGACGGCGAGGAGGGAAGTCATAAAGCGGCGCAGGTTGAGGCCGCGCACCGCCAGGCTCGCCAGGTCGTGGCCGTCACTCTGCTCAAAGGAGGCCAGTGCACGGCTCACCGTGGCTGGCGCGGCGGCGTGTTCAAAGCGCAGCAGCACGTGGTTTGCGGCTGGCGTGGAGAGCGCCGGCGGGAGGCGGCACGATATCTCGACGGCAGCAGCCGCACGCAGCCGCTCCTCGACCGCTGCTCGCCAGACAGAGTCGACCAGCCGGAGAGCGCCGGCACTGCGAACGTCGATCAGCGGCGCATCGCAACCGAAGAAGGGCGTCCCGTGGCGTCCCATGTCGACGATGCGGCCAACGAGGTCGGGCGAGGATAGCACGGACGCCGAGGCGAGCTCCTCCTGCGAAGCGAGCTCCTTCTGCGAGGTGAACTCCTCCTGCGAAGCGAGCTCCTCCTCGGCGTACAAGACGGGCGCACATCGCTGAAAAGAATTCTTCGAGACCTCCAAGCCCTGATAAATGAAAAACCCCGTGCCGCGCCTAGACCGGAAACTCGAGCGAGCCCAAGCAGCGCCGGGACGCTCCTCTCCACCGTGATGCTCCTCGCCATCGTCGTCACCACGACGTGGCTGCGGACGGGCGTCGCCCACGACATCGTGCGCCCGCTCTCCAACGTCGCCGAGATCCCTGCCTCGCCTGCCAGGAGCGGCGTCGACCTCATCGCTGGGCAGGTGCGCGGGTAGAGCTCTCCACCATACTCTGCCGCGATCCCGGCTGCTGCGAGCACGGCGCCGCCCGGTGCGCGCGAAATGACCCCTGCCGTTCCCGCGCGCACGCAGGTCGCCGAGGAGGACGTCGAGTGCCAATGCGCAAGCACGACAAATGTGCGCGCGTCCGCCGCCGCCATGCAGCCCCGGCCCTCCCCGCCGTCGATTTCGTCGCCGTCCGTGCGCGCGCCGCCGTTCACTCTGCCGCCGCCGTCGCCCCCACTTCCGCCGCCCCCGTTTTGCGCCTCGCCGCCGCCGCCGTTCTCCTTTTTCCCGCCGCCCGCGCTTCCCTCAGTCGCGCGCGCGCGCGGCTCGCCTGCGTCGCCGTCGCCCCCCCTCTCGCCGCCGCTCCCCTCACAGCCTCGTACAAGGGTGCCGCCGTCGGCGCCACAGCCTTCGCTCGCCCAAACGGTGACCCTCCCCCATCCCCCTCGGTACTGCCCCACCTTCTTCAGAACCAAATCCTCACCCCCCCCCCCCCCACTGCGCCCCGAATCAGGTGCCATCGCCACGTTTCCGTCGGATGAATTATGTGGAATTGTACCCCGGCCAGCCGTGGCGCGAGTAGCCAAACCCGTACCCGTCAGCCGATGCGTTCTTGAGCTTAAACGTTTTGAAGTGCTGGCCAGCCGCCGCACTTGCGACGAGGGTGCGAATGAGCTCGATGGCATACGCGTCCGGAAGACTCTGCGAAGCCAATGCAAACTCGACAGCAAGCGCGCATGAGCCGGTGTTGATTGCAACAAACTTGAAAAGGCTGCAGATTTGTGCGTTGTCGAGGCACGACGCGGTGAGGAGCCAGCGAAAGTCAAAGCACTTGTCGCGCTCGGCGTTGAACGATTTCGGTCGCGGAATATTGTGGAAAAGGGTGCGGCTGCGTGTCTCAAATTTGGTGAGCGCGATCGCGCGGGCCTCTTCCGGCCAGAGGCTCACGACCTTGTTCAAGAATGACGCGACCACATTCGGGTCTCCGCATGCGCGCATGAAGCTTAGCCCCTCTTCTGACAGCTGCTCCACAGCTGACATCGCTTGGTCGACCGTTCGGTCCACCGAATTCATGTTTCACCGAGGGCCAATTGGATTTCTTTTTTACTGGAGGGGGTGGGAGGAGAGCTCGCCACCTGACTTGTGGCTGCCTGTGGCTGCCCCAGCCACAAGCCAGATGGCATCCTGATGACCAACCTCCACCATTCCTCTCAACAGTAGTAAGCCAGGAATGGATCCCAAAGAAAAAGCTGGGACTCAGTGGAACCCGGTGCGGGTCGGCTTTGGCCCCCCCAATCCGGGGGAGTGCCCGCAACCGGCCACCTTCACGCCGGCGGCTCCGGATGCGGCGTTTATGTGGTCTGTGTTTGAGAATGAAGACCTTCTCGTCACCATCCTTGCGCACCTGCTTCTCGACGTCCGCGGTGCCAATCCAGCAAACAAGCCTTCGGATATGGGCTCGGAGGGGCCGATTGAGCTGGATCGCACCCTCCTGCCCCTCCTTATGGCATCCAAGCGTTTCCGCACGAGCCCCGTCGTGCCGCATCCGCTCAAGATCCGCAGCCGGTACGTCCTCATCGTGTGCTTCTTTGAAGACGGCTCGTATTGGCCGTCCCACGACACCCCTCCCTCTGACCTGGACTGGTCGTGCTACAACGGCAACCTTCGGGACCCCGGATTTCACCCGCTTCTGAAGGCCAAAATAGCCGAAATTGAGGAAGGTCGGCATTCTCAGCCGTGACTGTTAGGGGCGACGATCGGTCACACCGCCATCGCCGTCGGGGAGAGGGGGGACGACACTGCTTCTGCAGCGTGCACCTCGATCCTGTACCGTGTTTGTTATGACCCCCCCAATGAACACTCCAGTGAGGGAGGGCGAGACGATCGAGGGGTCATAGCAACTTGCAGACGTATTACACACACAAACAAAGCCTCGAGCTCACATGTCACAAGACACACAGTCAGTCTATGTAGCAAGCGCCCGCCAGCACGACGGGCGCCCTCGGCGTTCGGGGTGGCTCGGGGGTACCCCGGTGGTGTGGGGCAACGCACCACCTGAAATAGACACGCGAAAGCAGGTCGAAAGAGTTGGTGGCAATCCCCAAACCCCGCGAAACGTCATGTCGCCGGCGCTTAAATTGGCAGCTTGCACGCCGTCCACTCTCCAGTCATGGCCTCGCTCCTCGCCACCTTCATCGCCTCCGCACCAGCCAAGCTCGGGGTCCCTCAGGAAGCCCGCCCCACATACGGATCGATCATCGGCATCAAGGGACAGGGACAGACCATGAAGGTCCACGCCTTCCTCGGCGTTGATCCCGTGATCATCGTCGGCTCGACTGACCTGCAGTGGCAGACGGTCGAGGTCGCCTTCTCCGGGGGCAAGGTGGAGAGTGCAGTGGCCGAGTACTCGTCCCTGGCGGTCGTGACGGCAAGGGACAAGACGTATGTCGGAATCGGCGACCTGAGTGGCTCCGGAAACACCTACCCGTCTGGGCTGGCTATGACCGTCACCTTCTCGAGCGACACCGATATGGATGACGTCAAGATCAACTTTCATTCGCCAATCACGGCCATTACCACCAATGACCAGGCCACCTACCCCACCGTCGCCTTCAGCCACCTCCCCAACGGCTACGTCGCCTCCATCGTGCAGGACACGCAGCTCGACCTCTATGTTTTCGCCCCCTCGATCGAGATCAACACCGTCGAGCTGAGCGTCAGCAACATGGCGGACATGAAGATCACCCCACTCATTGACCACCTCCGGGCTATACAGGGGAACGACAAGTTTGGGCTCGCGTTCCTCGACGGCTTGCACCGGTCCATTGGCATTGCACAGGCTGTCCCGATTGCATCTTGCACCGAGGCGCTGACCCCCAGCGCCGGCGGGGCAACCTGGGTCTCCATTCTGTCGGATGAGACTCTTTCCCCCTCGATCGAGTACCTGACGGTCATCGTCGGCGCCATCTTCGACCCTCCTCCCTCGATGCCGGCCAACTCGTGCGAGTCATGCGGCGTCTCCACGCCCTCCCCCTCCCCGCCACAAGAGGCCAGCCTGCCACTGCCCTCGCCGTCGCCGCCACCAGGGGCCAGTCCCCCACCCTCCGACGCCAACAACGATGGTGCGAACCTCGGCGACGTGCCTTCCACACCGGCCGCCTCTGTCACCCTCGAGGCTGAGGGAGAGGACGACGGCAGCGGACGACCAGGTATCGCCGTCATCACGGGATCGTCTGCGATCGCCGCCGTTTTGGTGACTCTACTGGTGGCCTTGACTGTGTGGGGGAAGAAGCTCTCTCTGCCCAAAGATAGCCCGCAGGTCAGCAAGGCATCGACGAGCAAGGACGAGGCTCCCCAGAGCGCTTGATCGCCGGCGTCCACCGCTCCAGGCTCTGGCGGCTGGCCTGCGAGCCGTGGGGAGAAGCTGGGAGAAGCCGAGACGGCGGTAAATGGGCAGACGGATATCCGCCGGGGCACTCGAGAGGATGGAGCTTGGAGGGAAGATTTCCCGAAGGGCATTATGTATTTATTATCATTGTTTTCTCTATCGTTCGTCCTTGGAACTGTGTCTGTGACTGTGCGTGTGAGCGATGTGGGGATGTATATGCCAATATGCGGGGTGTGGTACCAAAAATGACCCTAGGAGACACGTTTTCACTCCCCCTCGTCACGGCCCTCTAACAAGGCAGATTCATCCCACCGCGCGTATACACACACACACACACACACACACACACACACACAGAGAGAGAGAGAGAGAGAGAGAGAGAGAGAGAGAGAGAGAGAGAAGAGAGAGAGAAGAGAGAGAGAGAGAGAGAGAGAGAGAAGAGAGAGAGAGAAGAGAGAGAGAGAGAGAGAGAGAGAGAGAGAGAGAGAGAGAGAGAGAGAGAGAGTTTCAATACCAACCATGCTTGTGGTTCGCTTGCTCGGCATGCAGAGCGCGCCGCAGCTCTCCGCAGACGGCAGCCTCCCCTCGTCAGAACGGTTGGCACGCCGAATTTTTTCTTTTTTACCTCCTTGCTGCGGCGCCCTTTGCTAGCGGCAAGGCGGCATGGATCAGATTTTCCGACCACGCTGCTTCCCCGCCCTGGACAAGCTCTTCAGCGCTGGCCCCGGACCGCCATCGCAGGAGGCGCTCGCTGAGTTCATGCGGAGCACGCACGCTGCCATCACTGAACATGTCGACGCGGCATCGCACTCAGTGTTGCGCGCCGCGGTGCACGGAGGGCGCAACCTTATGGAGGAGTCTGCGGAGGAGGACTCACACTGCCAGCCGATCGAGGTATTTGGCGTCACCGCCACGGTTGTCGGCTTGAGTATACTGCTCGTCGGGGCGGTCGTGGCTGCGCGCAGCAGATTAGGGCGCTCCGGCAGAGGGACCGTCACATACACGCAGAGGGACCTCGACCTATCCCTCGTGTGAGCCTTTAAGAGCTCGCCTGTACGTGTCTCCTCCTGTCCGTGTCGTCCGTGTCGTACGGTGCGGACGTGCGCCTCCGTGCGGTGCTCAAGTCCGCCGTCGTGTGTGGTCGCATGGCGCACACGCTACGTGTGTGTGGGTGAGGGTGTGAATGAATCTGCCGGCACCATAAATGACGCGCTAGGAGACACGCTTTCACTCCCCCTCGTCACTCCCCTCCTCATCGGAGACCGCTCCGCCCGGAGGCATGCGCGCCAGCTTCTCGGCCAGGCGCGCGCGCTTCGCTTCCCTCCACGCCTCAAAGTCGGCGCGGCCGCGCTTGGGGGCAGACGACGACGAAGAGGCGGCGCCGACCTCCTTCCCACCCTCGCTCTCCTCCTCTCCCTCGCCACCCTCGCTCTCCTCCTCCTCCTCCTCCTCCTCCTCCTCCTCCTCCTCCTCGCCCTCCGCCTCGCCCTCCTCCTCCTCCTCGCCGCCCTCCTCGCCCTCCTCCGCCTCGTCCTCGCCGGCCGCCTCGACGACGATCATCTCGAGCTCCTCGAACACCTCACCCAGCACGGCCTCGAGCACCCGCACGTGCCGCTTCTCGTCGCCCCGCGCCGCGCTCGCCCTCGCCGGCCGCGCGCAACCTCCGCCCCCGCCCGCCTCGCCATACTTGCCGAGGGTCATCGCGCTCAGCCAGACCGCCGCCCCCTCCAGCCCGGGCCACGCGTCCTCGCACGTCCCCTCCGCCTCCTCCTCCTCGCCGCCCACGCCCGCGCACCCGGAGAAGACTTCGGACAGCAGGATCGCCTCCGACACGCCGCCCACCTCCGGCCAGCCGCCGGCCGACGCCAGCTTTGCGATCCGTGCCTCCCGCAGCTCGGACACCGTCTGCTCGGGGATGGGAGACTCGCCGCGCGCCGTCGCGGCGAGGAGCGCGCACGCCTGCCAGTTGCACGCAAACAGCCGCTCGAACGCCGAATCGGCCCGCGCTTGCGATTCCTCCTCCTCCTCCTCGCCCTCCGCCTCGGCGTGCTCCGCCAGCGAGAGCAGCAGGCCGCAGCACAACATCACCGCGCTCGTGTCGTTGCTGTACTGCGCGAGCAGCGCCGCCGCCGCCTCGTGCTCGCCAAAGCTGAGCAGCAGCGGGGCGAGCACGCGCCGTGCACACATGGCATCGCCCGGGTCAAGCTTCAGACACGTCTCGAGCGTCTCCCTTGCCGCGCCGTGATACTTGCTCTGATTGAGCTCGATCCAAATCTCCGCCAGCCGAATGCGCGTCTCCGCGCTCTCTTTGCGCGCCAGCAGCGTCTGAAGCAGCGCCGCCCGCTTGAGTAGCTTCTGCGCACCCGAGGATGCAGCGATGCTGGCGTGAGCGTTGCGGCTCTGGTCGGGCATGTACTTGTTGACGCCAGGCGCGGCCCGGCCCTTGGCGGCAACCGCGGCTCTCTCTTTTCTCGTTTTTTTCTCCGCGCCAGGCATAGCACCAGGTCCTACCGAGACCAAGCAAGGGCACGCAGCCATGCACCAACAGCGTAAAAGAAAAAGACGGCGAGTAGGCGTGTGGCATCGGCGGGCCCACTGTCCGAACACAACTCGGCCTTTGATATCCGGGCGGTGCGGGACCGAATCGAGAAGGACCAGGCGAGGGGGGAGGCGACGCGACTACTGCGCAGTCTGCGGCCCGATGCGGAGCCGGGGGGGGGAGAGGCGGGGCCGTCGGCGAATCCGGGCCCTGCCCCCCCCCCTTCCCGAGGGGAGACGAGAGCTAGGCCCCCCCCCACGAGCGGAGTGGACGGCCGGCGCGTGGAACCACGGCTGGAACGGCCGCAGGGGCAGGGGGCATCCCCCGAGGCCCCGCCCCAGGAGTTGCGACGGCCGGCACCGCCACCAGGCCCGCCCCCACCACCACCGCCTCCGCCCCCGCCGTTGGAGCGACCGCTGGGTCGAGGAGCCGCCCCTGAAGTTCCACACCAGGCGGTGCAGCCGCCAGTGCCGCCATCGTTTCCGCCACCCACACTGCCATTTCCGCCCCCGCCACTGGAACGGCTGCAGGGTCGTGGGGCCGCCCCAGCGGCTCCACACCAGGCGTTTGGGCCGCGAGGGCCGCCACCGTACCCGCCGCCCCTGCTACCGCCTCCACCCCTGCCGCCGGCGGGGCCGCCACCGTATGGACCCGCTCGGAATAACCTGGGGGGTCCGGGACCACCCCGCCGGAGGCTAGAGTACCCGGAAGGAGGAGCTGGGAGAGGGGAGGGGCCGCAGTACGATAACGGGCCCGCCGGCGAGCCGGAAGGCCGAGGCCGGAGGGCCCCAGGGGGGGCTTGGGGTCAGCTGTCGGAGGAGGTGAGAGACGAGCTGACGCGGCCTCTGCGGGTAGAATCGGGACGTACGGACGGGCCGAGGACGATAGAGAGACCGCGGGGGCGGGCACGAGTCCTCGACCGAAGAGAGCCGGCCTCACTTCACGGGGAGGGGCGGCGTGGCGATCCAGTGCCGCCGCCCTCGCCCGAGGAGTTGGGCATGGGATCACCGGAGGTGGAGTCAACAGGAGCAGGCAGAGTGGGCGAGACGGCGGCGGGGCCGCGGCCGAAAAAGGCTAGGAGGGGGGGTCGGGCCCCGCATCCGTTGCCCAACCAGCGGAAAGCGAGTGGGGGGAGGACCGAGGGGATAAGAGGGCCCCTCCAGACCGAGGGGGGGAGGCCAGACAGGGAAGCCTCGAGGGGTGACGTCGAGTGAGGATGTACGTCGTGTGCGTGTCTGGTGTTTATTAGCTCCGAGTAGAGGGGGCGCTCCGCTGCTAGGGGAAACCTGGAGCGCGGACTAACCCTCGGAGACCCGTGTTTACTTTACGGCCCTTTCCCTGCGAACGCGCACCCCCTGGGCTAGGGCTCTCTTGCCCGCAACCCGATGCCAATCATCCGGCCCGCTGGGTGCGCTTCTCAGCTCCCCGGCCCTGGGTGTGCGGTTGCCGACTGCACTCCAAGTGCTCCAAGTGCCCCCAAGCAAGTGGCAAAAGGCTTCTTGCGCTCGGCCCCAGTGGGGGGTGCCCGCGCCGCCTAGCTCTGCGGACGGCCCCCCCCACCCTTCATGTAATCATGTAGTCCCCACAATCGCTGACGTGTGGGATCGCTTGTCATGTGAGAGGGCGCGTTTTGTTCTTGACCACCCAAGACAGCTTGGAGACCTCCCGGTCACGCTACATTTCGTTAACGATGGTCGCTAAACGACATCGCTATTGGCCATCTGCCTCCTGCAGCCTCTGTTGGGGCGGAATGCGCGGGGTTTTCGGCGCGATGCCTACCGAGACCAAGCAAGCAGCAGGCCACGCACACAACAGCGTAAGAGAAAAATAATGACGCCCCAGCGCGTGACAATTGGCAAACGGCTTCTTACGCACATCGCGCGCCGAGCGACAGTGTGCAGCTTCTCCGCTCGCGGCGAGAGGACCGGCGAGGCGACCGGCGTGAAGGTCGCGGTCGCGTAGGGAATGCGGGCGGCGGCGCAGCCCGGCTGCACGGCGGAGAGGGCTGTGGGCCAGAAGAGCATCATGGTGCCAAAGGTCAGCTCGAAAGACACCTCCAAGGTACCAGCGCCGACGAATTCTTTTTTAGTCTCCCACCAGTCTTCCGGCGATCGATGTTTCTTGTTCTCCTCCTACAAATGCTCAAGAAGGTGCGCAACAAGCTCTCGAAGCGGCAGCACGAGGACGAGGCGAGCTGGTCGACGCGGTCGTGGCTGTCGCTGCAGGCCCAGCGCATGTCAGTCGCGCTGCAGCTCGCGGCGGCGGAAGAGATTGCGACCAAGCCCAGGCTCGCCGCGGCGTCGGAGGACGCCGCCGTCGCCTAGACTCCCCTGCGTCACTACGTGCCTCCCCGTCTTTGTAGCCTGGCGTTTGTGCCCCGTTTGTGCCGCGTCCCGTGCCCCCGAGTTCATTTTAATTAACCAAATGCTCAAGGAAGAAAACGGACAACCCAAGGGAGGGATGGGAGGACGGCACGCCGCGCCACCACACAAAACAGATCGACAAAGACCGCGCTCGCCAAATTATTCTCCGCCTCCTTTGCAACGCCGAATTACCTTGATGGATTGCCGTTATCACCCTTCCCACCACGACCGGAGGACCTGCCTTAGCCAGCTCGAAAAAGACGAGCAGTCCTCCTTTGGTCTTCGCGAGTCGGCCTTATATCACGCACCATCTCCCAACCAAGGCGGCATGATGCTGCTCTTCGCCACCACGCTAGCTGCGCCGCTGCCCGTCGGTCGACCCGACGAGCTCGGCGCCATGATGCTCGGCGCTCTCCGCGACAAGGACGAGCGGAAGACAGAGATGGGCGCGACAGTAAAGCTGGGTCTCGCCGCGATCTCCGGCGACGAAGGAGCAATGGACGCGGCATCCGATCAGGCCGCGGGCATGGCTGCCGACGCGGCCGCAGACGCTGCGATGGCAGCGGTCGAGCACGGACCAGCAGTGATCTCCTTTGCAAAGCTCCTGGCCAAAGAGGGCTACCAGGGCATCAAAGAGGCCACGAAGGACGACGGCAAGCAGCAGTCCAGTTCCGGTGAGGGCCAGGCGCACGGCGCCTACGCATACGGAGGTGGCCAGCCGGGTGGGAAGCAGTGGGGGTACGGCGGTAAGCACTGGGGCTACGAAGGCGGACAGCCGGCATCGGGATATGCTTATGATGGGCAGCAGTCGGGATACACATTCGCAGCGAAGGAGGCGGCGGAGGCGGCAAGGAAGGAGGCAGCGACATTCGCAGCAAAGGAGGCGGCGGAGGCGGCAAGGAAGGAGGCAGCGGCTGCGAACGCTGCAAGGGCGGACCTAGCGGCCAAGGTGGCGGCGGCGACGAAGGCAGCCATGGCCAAGACGGCAGAGGCGAGCGAAACAAAAGCGAGTCTGGAGGCGAGGCTGGCCGCGGCAGAAGCAAAGCTTGCGGCAGCGGCCCAGGCGGCCGAGATGGAAACGGCAGCGGCTGAGGCGGCCGAGGCAGGGGCTGAGGCGCTGGCCCAAAAGATGCAGGCGGAGGCGGCTAGTTGGAAGGCAAAGGCGGAGGCGGCGAGCGGCTTGCAGACGGGATACGGCGTCAGCCAGCAGTTGCTCGGGCACACCTCAGGCGAGCTCCCTGCTGGCTGGGCCTCATCTACGCTTCAGGGCCAGACCTACTACTACTGCGAGAGCGAGCACCCGCTCGGAGGCAGGCTCCCCCCCTCGCAGTGGGAAGTGCCCGCTGTCCCGTGCGCAGCGGCCTCCTCCAGGACCGAACGCAAGGGCCAGTGCACGTTCCGGGACGCCAACCTCCAAGACAGTGGCCCGCGGTGCTACATGGAGGGCGTCGGCGAGTGCGCTGGCCAGTGCCTCACACACGCCTTCAAGCCCGCGTACTACACCAACGGCGTCTGCTACGACTCCATGGCCCAGTGCACCGCCGGGATCGCCGCACAATCCAACTGGATGTCGGTGACCGGCCACCACCGCTGCTACGAGTACAAGAAAGAGCGCGGCCGGTGCGTGCCGAAGGACGCGAAGCCTGCGCGTGGCTGCTACAACGACCCGGACGAGTGCGAGGCGTTCGGAGCACCGGAGCGTACACCGGAGCGTACACCGAAGACTGGGCTCTGCCTCACCACAACCGCCGATTTCGCAGCAGCTATTGGCATGGCCGCCAGCTCCTGTCAAGACAAGAACTATTGGGCGTGCGTAAAGACGCACAAGTCGAACGCCGATTGCAAGGCCTTGTGCGAGGACGACACCCACTGTCTCTCCTTCGCGAATTACCCGATGGCTCGTCTCGCCGCTGACCAAGAGCACTTTGTTGTCGGCCAGCCAAACGGCGTGACCTGCCTGCTGTTTCACAGCGCCCCGACAGACCCCTCTAGGGCCACATGCGATGGAGGCAGCGTCTTTGAAGAAGTGCGCAGTCGCCCACTTCCGACCCATCCGCCGCCGCCGCCGCCGCCGCCGCCGCCGCCGCCGCCGCCGCCGCCGCCACCGCCACCGCCGCCGCCGCCGCCGCCGCCGCCGCCGCCACCGCCAGCCTCCGTGCAACCTCGCTCGGGCGGCCCGTCGTGCGACTGCAACTATATCGGCGTGTCGGGAGGCTACGAGCACCAATCCACGAGTATGGGCGTCTTCACGCGCACAGGGACGGTGGTGAATGGCCGCTGGGTCTACAAGAACTCGGAGGACCAGTACCTCTACTTTCCCTCTGGCTACATGTGGATGATTAGTGACGACTACACCTCTGCGTCTGCTGGGGTGGTCGACTATTCGTATTCAAACGCCCTCTGCCCTAACGATGTCGGCTCAAACTTCCAGAGGTGGGACGGCTCGGAGTGGGGCGGCAGCGTCGCCGTCGTCTGCTACTCGTGGTGGCAAGGCGGCCGCGGCGGTCGATACAACGACTACCGCCACGGACGCGACGATGACGACGGCGACGACAGCTACGATGATCGTCGCCGCCATCGCCGCGACCGTGACGACGACGACGGCTACTCCTACGATTGAACGAGTTGCAACTCTGCGGTCCCGGGGCCCTAGGTGGCTTGAAATGGATCGCGCCGACGCCGAGGCAGAGCCCGCCCTGCTAGTTCTTCCGGCTGACTGACTTCTGTGCTGTGTGACTATTTTCTCTCTCTCACCTTGTATAGTGCGTGTCCACTGCAGTACGTCCTCTCTGTTCTCACTCTGTGTATTGCCGTTATGTGCCAATGTATCAGTTTTAGACTTTTCTCTCAGTTTAGAGAGAGAAGACATTTGAGAGAGATTTTTTAGCAATACCAAACAACTCTAACACTCACACGTCATTTGGGGCCTGGAGCCCTGTTCACGCGCGCGCGAGACGTGCAGACAGGGTTGCCAGGTGAGAGCGAATGGCGCGGTTCACGCCTCGCACAACAGAGAGAGAGATGCGCTCTGCATGGTGGGACATAAAAGAGAGCGAGTACTTGGGCGAGTAGGCCGTGCGGTCGACGCTGCCGCGCGCGACTTTGCGCGCGAGGCGGCGCAGCTTGAGAACGGCGGTGGGCGAGAAGCCGCCGCCGAACGTCTCGTGGAGCAGCAGGTTGAAGTTGTTGCGCTTGACAAAGATCGCGTCGTGGTAGAAACCGCGATGCGCCTTGACGTAGCCGTGGCCGGTCTTTGTTTGTTGACATTTGTTATGTTTTAGAACAAACAATACTTTAAGCGCGAGGAGGAGCTCATCGTACCCTACATGCGCAATTTGTATTTGACGCTGCATGCAGGGAGATGAGAGCTCCTCCTACGAGACCGTCGCGGGCTACCTGTGCCTGCCCTCCCCAGCGGGTCCGAATTCGACACCATCCCCCAAAGGCACCCGAACCCATGCCATCCTCGCTCGCGCTCTCGCCCGACGCTTCGGCGGCTGCCCGCCGCCGCCGCCGCCGCTTTGCCTTCCGCTCCCGCTTCGGCAGCAGCGTGTAGTTCGGGCCGGTCTCGGCCACACCCTTCAACACGTCGTCGGCGCTCACCAACTCGACGCCGCCCTCTTCGGGCGGCAGGGCGGTCCCCGCCGCCCTGTCGGCCCTGTCCATCTCGTTCCTATATTCGACGTCTTGCTCATATGCGTTTTCGGGTTCCGATTCGTTTCCGATTCGTTTCCAGTTCCCCTCCCTGACGAAATTCTTGCCCTCTCCTTTTTACATACATAATTTAAGGATGCACTGTGTGAGGCCACACGCGCCGCCAAACGACGCATATCTCGCGTAGGTTACACAGGCGTTACACACACCCCACTAACACCGCCGTCCTCAAGCTGCGCCGCCTCGGGCGCAAAGTCGCGCGCGGCAGCGTTGACCGCACGGCCTACTCGCCCAAGTACTCGCTCTCTTTTATGTCGCCACCATGCAGAGCGCATCTCTCTCCTCCGCTCTGTGCTACTGTGCTTGTGCGAGGCGTGAACTCCGCGCCCCGAACCAGCGCCCTAGTCTGGACGATTTTTTGCGCTATCTCCCCGTATCTCCCTCTATCTCCCCGTATCTCCCTCTATCTCCGCGACATAGGACAACCGTTGTCCGACACCCCGAGTACAGTACCCACGCACGCGCACCTCCACGCGCATATGCGCTCCAAGTGCAAGACTCACGCCAATCCTCGCCTGCTTCGCCGCTCCGCCCGCGCATGCGCTCCAAGTGCAAGACTCACGCCATCCTCGCCTGCTTCGCCGCTCCCGCGAAGCTGGGCACCAGACCCACCTTGCGGAAGGCCGTGTACCAGTCTAGCTTGGCGTACCAGTAGCTAACCTCGGCCTTCTCGGCGTCGTCGCGCTCGGCCCACTCCTTCTCCGCCGCCGGGAGGAAGACCTTGCACATGTCGGTCTTGACCAGCTTGAGGGTCGTCACCACGTCGATCCCGCTCGCCGCCTCCGCGCTCTCGAGCCGATCCCACTCGTCCTCGGACGGCGGCGCGAGCCCCTGCGCGGTCACCTGCTGCGCGAGCCGCGCCAAATCGACCGGCCGGCCCTGCACCAGCGCCGTGAGCAGATGGCCGCTGACCGTCGAGGGCAGGATGGCCTTGCCGCTCACCTGCGTCAGCGCGATCTGCTCGATGCTCTCCTTTTGGCCCTGCTGGAAGCGGCGCCACGACGCGTCCCACACAGGCGGCTTCTTGCCGGCGGGCGGCACCGCGAGCTTCCACGGCGCCGCAGGCGTGTACGTCTCTGTCGGCAGCTGCATCGGCGCGCCGCCCTGGCTGGCGCCCGCGGCCGACGCTCCGCCCTGGGAGGCCGCCGGGCCCTGGGACGCGCCGCCGGCCACGTCCGCATGGGCGGTGCGCCAGCGCTGGATCAGCTCGATGAGCGCGTTGGCGCCCTGGGCGGTGATGCGGGCGCCGAGGGCGAGGAGCGACTCGCTCTCCGTCGGCTTGGTGTGGCAGATCTTCATGACCAGGTGGTCGGCGAGCACCGAGGCCGGCGCCATGCGCAGCCGCGCCGCCTCCGCCGTGCGCCACTGCATCAGCTGTCGGTAGAGCGCCTCGTGCGCCTCGGCGCGCGCCACCTGGCCGCGCGCCTTCCAGTCGTCGAGCGTGCGCGTCCAGTGCAGGATCGCGCTCGTGACGGGCGTCTTGTCGGCCCCTGGCTCCAGCTCGGCCTCGGGCACCATCGACACGTCGATGCCCGCCGCCTTGAGCTTCTGCAGCGCCTTGCTCACCTCGAGCCGCGTCGAAGCTGCCTTCTCCTGCTCGACCTTGTCGTCGCGGCGCACCGAGTCGGGCACCGGCAGCATCAGCGCCGGCATCGGCACGCGCGCGAGCTCTCGCAGCTGCTGGTGCCCCTTGGGAGTGACGTGGTACAGGTCGTACGCGCCGAAGCCCGACGGGTTCTTCTTCTGCGTGCGGCTCAGCAGCCCGGCGGTCACCAGGAGCGGCACAAAGTCCTTGAGCGTCTGCCACGAGCGCTTGGGCTTGAGCGCGGCGCGCAGCCCGGCGAGCGGCGGCGTCGCCATGCCCTTCTCCATGTGCGACATGACGCCGTGCCTCGTCGCCGCCGTGAGCAGCAGCCGCGCCTCGAGGGCGTAGTTGCGCTCGACGTCGCCCGCGAAATTCTTGCGCCGCACGCAGTTGTCGCACGTGCCGCACGCCGCAAAGGGCGCGGTCTCGCCCATCAGGCGGAGCAGCGCGACCCACCGGCAGTCGCTCGTGTTGTTGGCGTAGCCGCGCAGCTTCTCGGTCGACTCGAGCACGCGCTCCACCTGGCCGTGCGGCAGGCCCTTGGTGTAGAACTCGCCGCTGTACTTGGCAAAGTCGGCGTCGCTCGCGATCATCTCGCACCGCGCGGGACCGCCGTCGCGCCCGGCTCTCCCGATGTGCTGGTAGTACTCCTCTGCGGTCTTGGGCGCGCCGTAGTGCACGACGCGCCGGATGTCGGGCTTGTCGATGCCCATGCCGAAGGCCACCGTCGCGCAGACGACCGGCAGCTGGCCCGAGAGGAAGCGCACGTGCACGCTCTCGCGCTCCTTGGCGTCGCGCTTGCCGTGGTAGAAGTCGGCGTTGATCTGGCGGTGCTGCAGGAAGGCGGCGACGCTCTCGGCCTCGTTCGTGGTGGGCACGTAGATGAGCGTCGACGAGGCCATCGCGGCGCCGTTGTTCTCGAGCAGCTCCTGCACGAGGCCGCCCAGGCTCTCTGCGAGCCCCGCCTGCTTGCGCGACACCTTGATGGCCAGGTTGGGGCGGAAGGACGACTGCTTCTGCACGTACGGGTTCTGCAGCGCGAGGGAGCGCACGATGTCCCGCTGCACGTTCGGCACGGCCGTGGCGGTCAGCGCCATGATCGGCACGGTCGGCATCCGCTGGCGCAGCTCGCCCAGCTGGCGGTACTGCGGCCGAAAGTCGTGCCCCCACTCGCTCACGCAGTGCGCCTCGTCGATGGCGAAGAGCAGCAGGGGATTGCGCGCGTGCAGCTGCGCCAGGCGGTCGAGCCCGTCGGCCATGAGCTTCTCGGGCGACATGAACACGAGCGGGAACTCGCCGTCGAAGGCGCGCCGCTCGACGTCCTTGTCCAACTGCGCCGAGCCGCAGAAGGCCGCCAGCTGGCGCCGCCCCTGCCCGACGGTGTTGTTGAGGCGCTCGACCTGGTCGGTCATCAGGGAGATGAGCGGCGACACGACGACCACCGTGCGGCCCGTGTGCAGCGCGGGCAGCTGGTAGCATATGGACTTGCCGCGGCCCGTCGCCCAGAAGACAGCGACGTCCTTGCCCGCGAGCGCGGCCTCCACGACCTCCCGCTGCCCCTCGCGGAACTCGTAGCCGTAGTAGTTCATGAGGGACTGCTCGATTCGGGCCCTGTCGGCCTCGGGAAGCACGGAGACCCACGGCGCGGAGGAGAGGCCGGCGTCACTGGCCAGCGCCGCTGGCGGCGGCGGCGCAGGCGCCAGTGGCGCAGGCGCCGGTGGCGCAGGCGCCGGTGGCGGCGGCAGTGCCGCCGGCTTATGTGTCAGCGCAGCTTTCTCGGCCGCCAAGGCAGCGGCCTCCCACGCAGCGTCGTCGATGTCGTCGAGATCGTCCATGTGCATTGCTGCAAGAGCAGGAGGAGTGCCCGGCGGCTGCGGCTGCAGCGGCTTGGACGCGGCTCCCGCCCAGCGCAGCTGCAAATTCTTTTTCTTCAGCTCGCTGCCACTTGTTTATGTCTTGTCTTGCGAAGGCGCTCGGGATCGCTAGCAAGCATACATCAAGATCTCTGCGGGACACCAGTAGATTTGTTGAGTGGAGATCGTAGATGCCGATCAGAGATCTTCCACACACAGCATCTCTCACAAAACTCAGAGATCTTTAACTGAAGATAGAGATCTTGAGCTGCCGACATCGGCACCTCGAGATCTCTGGCCGGAGACGGAGATGTTGACATCGCGCCAAAGGGGCCTAGAGATCGTGTGCGCCGACTGGAGATTGCAAAATGGCGCGAAAAGAGGGTGGAGATCCGCTTGAAGGTGTGAAAGGAAAAGAGCATCCCCTTGGAAGGACGTCGATTCCCCCCCTGACACGCCTCCCCCACAAGTCGAGATTGGAGATTGGAGATCGGAGATGAAGATCGGAGAAGCAAAACATGACGTTGAAGATTGGAGATTGGAGATGGAGATCGGAGATCTGACTGGATCCGGCAAAATATGACGCTGGAGATTTGGAGATTGGAGATGGAGATCGGAGATGATTTTTATTTTCATTTTTTTATTTTTGGCCCGAAGAGCCTGCGGCGCCGGTTTTAACTTTACGGTGTGGGGGAACCATGCGTGAGTGAGCTTTTTATTATCAAAAAAGAAAAAGAGGATGACAGCGGCGTCATCTCCAATCTTGCGTCGACACATCTCCGAGGGCGGCGCAGCCAAGCCCGAGTAGTGGTCTTCTTGAGGCGCGTCAGCGCCGAGTCCGTGAGGAGCGGCCCCAGCTTGCTGGGTGCGGCCCCGCCGCGGGCCGTAGCGAGAATCGCGCAGCGAGTCGGCCGGAGAGGTTAAAACCGGCGCCGCAGGCTCTTCGGGCCAAAAATAAAAAATAAAAATAAAAAATCATCTCCGATCTCCATCTCCAATCTCCAATCTCCAGCGTCATATTTTGCCGGATCCAGTCAGATCTCCGATCTCCATCTCCAATCTCCAATCTCCAACGTCATATTTTGCCGGATCCAGTCAGATCTCCGATCTCCATCTCCAATCTCCAATCTCCAATCTCGATTCGGGGGTCGGGGGGGGGGGGGGGCTCGAACCTTCAAGGAGATGCGCTATGGATTCATTCACACCGCACATCTCCGATCTCCAATCTCCAATCTCCCATTTGACCCCTGCCGCCGCCAGCTGCGATCTCCAATCTCCAATCTCGATCTCCAATCTCCGCCCCGGCGGTGGATGCCCGGCGCGAGGATCTACGATCTGTGTTCTCCATCTCCAATCTCCACCTTTGACCCTGGCAACTGCCAACACGATCCACAATCTGTGATCTCAATCTTTCATCTTCAACCAAGCCCGACTGTGTGGTAGAATCGGCTAGGATCTCCACTCCTGGTCTGCGATCTACTGTCTGCGATCTACTACTCTCTCGCAGAGATCTCGATTACTCCTAGCAAGGACCTCAAACCGGCATCTCCGGCCCCAAGGGGGAGTCGGCGCTGAAGTGCCTGCACATGTTTCATGCCGCGATCCTTCAGAGGCCGCGTGGGCAGCAGTGCCGGAGCGACGACGAGGTGATCGAGCGTGCAAAGGAGGCTGCCTCGAGCCCCGCCGCACTCCGTAGGATGGTGGAAGCGCTCGTCGCGGACGCCTCCGCCGACGACGAGGAGGAGACGGCGCCGATGCGCGAGGTTGTGCGCGACTCGGGGGCGGCGCGCTCTTGAACAAACGAGCGGCGCGCTCTCTATGCGGCGCGTGCGGGCGAGGCTGGAGCTGCGCTTCGCCGGCTGCAGCCTGCGGTCGACCCAGGGAAAGCGGCGTGCAAGCTGAAGTACGCGGAGGCGCAGTACGAGGCCAACAAGCAGATCGCACCGGGGCTGCTCAAGCCTGTCAGGGGCGTGAAGGCGTACAAGCCGAAGGATGCCTCGATCGAGAAGGTGTTCTGCAATCCGCCACGCCTCCGCGCGCCAGGTATCCTCGGGGACACCATGGAGGACTGGAGTGTCATCTACAAGTGTGGTGCGCGGGACGGCATCAGGGGCATGTGCAAAGCCATCTGGTGCGGCACCGTGACCGACGGCGTCAAGGGCATCATCTGCGACGTGCGGGCGTGCGCCTTCTACAAGGACCCGCTGTGCACGGAGGGGCCCAGTGCGCGCATCCGCCCGATCGCCATTGGCTGTGCGCTCCGCCGCCTCTGCTGCAAGGCAGGGACGTGCGACTTGGCTCCGGAGTGGAACCGGTTCTACACGACGATGCACCCGGACGACGCGGCTGAGTGGGAGGCGGACATCTGCTCGGCCGAGGCCGCCCTCTCGCATGCGAAGCAGGCGGAGGCCCATGCGGAGGCGGTCAAGGCGGACGCGGCCCCACGGTCACGGCGTCCAAACACGCGGTCGAGGAGGCGGCGCGGCACCTCGGTGAGGTGAAGGAGCCGCGCAACTTCGTCCGCAACAATGTCTTTGCAAAGGCGGGGTGCGAGCGCACTGCTTACCATGTGCGCTCGTGGATGGAGTCGCCCCGCTGCAAGGACGACATCATCATTGACGACGACATCGAGTGCATGTACAACGCCACATGCCGCGTGGCGATGTTCAAGGCGCTGCGGGAGGAGCCGCTCTTCCAGCAGTGCGTCCCCGTGTACTCTTCGCGCGCCGGCTGCCGCCCAACGCGCTGCTGGTCGTGAAACGGACGGCACGGACATCCTCTACCAGCGCAACGTGACGGCGCTGCACCAAGCGGCGCACGCCGTGCTAGCGCACGCCGGCGCGGACGTCGTCTTCGGCGCGGAGGCGTACTGCTACCACTGCTCTCGCACCGGGGACGCGGAGCGCCTGCGTAAGAACACTCTCTTCCGCTTCCTCAACGGCGGCTGCATGGCTGCGCGCGCGGCGCCGCTCGTGCAGATGCTGCAGGCGTACCTCGACGAGATGGGGCGCGACGGCAAGCTGCGTGGCACGCCCGAAGCGGACGCGGCCCGCGCGCACGCGCTGCGCTCCGCCTACGCCGACGGCACGCCACGCGTGTACCACAGCACGCAGCAGGCGCTGCTCACGCGACTCCTCCTCGAGCAGCAGTCCCGCCGCGCTGGCACCAAGAGCTTCCCAACGATCGCGCTCGACCACAACGCGACGCTGTGCCTCAACCTCTTCTCCTCTCCAGCTCCACGCCGCGCAAGCACATGGAGTGGACGGCGCGCGGCACCATCCGCTACCAGGCCGCTGGCACCGAGGCGCCCATCGTCCACTACAACGGCAACATTGCCGACTCGGACGTCGACTGGCTGCAGGGCTTTACAGCGGACGTGCTCATGGGCCGCCTGCGAAGCCGCCACCCGAAGTCGTCGGTGACGCCGGTCGCCATTTCGCCCAGCTTCGAACTCACGAACATGGACATGGAACGGCACAAGTCAAACGGCACGGCGGAGGCGCGGAGGCGCAGGCGGGCGGCCACCACGAGACAGCGGCGAGCGGCACCGGGCGGCGCCATCGCGGCAAATGGCGAAAAGCGCCGACGTGGAGGGCCCGAGCGTGGGCAGGCGCTGGCGCACATGGAGGTGGCAGTGAACGAGGTGGACGCGAAGGAGAACGCCGCGGCGCAGCTCGTGCAGGCGCTGCAGGCGCTGCAGGCGCTGCAGGCGCAGATGCAGGAGATGCGAGAGGACAACAAGGCGGTGCGTGCGCGGATGGAGGAAGAAGGCAAGTCTCTCTTCGCGCGCGCATTGCCGAGATCGAGCGCCAACCACAGAGGAGACGTTCGCCGAGCTGAGACGGAGTGAGAGGCCGTACCCTGCACGGGACGATAGACTCCCCGCACGTGAGCTCTTACTAAAAGCTCACCCTGGGCTGGACCTAGTCAACCACCACGCCGACGTCGATCGACACGTGACCACTTTCTTCATCGATGTTCGTACCGAGAACTGACGTGGGAGAGACTACGCGCCCTCCTCCTCCTCCACCCTCCGCCGCCGCCGCCCCGTGCTCCCTGAGCCACTCCCGCGAGCGCAAGTCCGCCTGCCTCACGCGGCGTCGGCCGTCGGGTCGAGACGCCGCCGCCTCCGCTGCGCGACGCCGAGGCGCCCGAGGGCGGGGCGGCGTGGGGCTGACGCCTCAGCAAGCGTCAGCCGGGCGCGGTGCCAGATGCGCGCGTCATGTCGTCCTCTCAGCGGCTCTCTACGAGCGCTGGGCCGCGTCCGCCGCCTTCCTTGCAGCGGCCGCCTTGGCCCTCGCAGCGGCCGCGCGCCTCGCCTTTGCGGCGGCCATCCCCGCCTCAGCTGCCGCCGTGGCCGCCTCAGCTGCCGCCGTGGCCGCCTCAGCTGCCGCAAGTGCCGCGGCCGCGGCTTCCTCCTCGGCCACGGCTTCCTCCTCCTCCGCCTCTGCCTCCTCCTCCTCTTCCTCAGCCTCCTCGGCCAACCGCTCCGCCTCCACCATCTCAGCTAAAGCCGCTGCCTGGCTCTCCGCCGTGATGCCGAGCCGGATCCTCTCCTCGTGACAACTTTCGAGAAGCCTGATCAATCTCTCCTCCTCCTTCTTTGCCGCCTCGGCTGCGGCTGCCTCCGACAGCACCTCGGCACCCTCTGGTGGCGCCTCTGCACCCTCCGCCGCCGCCTCGGGCTCCTGCGACGGCCCAGCGCCGCCGCTCCCGCCGCCCTTCTTCTTCTTCTTGCCCTTCTTGCCCTTGCCGCGCTTCTCCGCCTCGACCTCCGCCAGCAGCTCGTCGGCGTGCCGCGCCGCCTCCGCCTCCGCCGCCGCCCGCTCCGCTGCCCTCTCCGCCGCCCCCGCAGCCCACGCCGCCTCCTTGGCCGCCTTCTCGGCCGCCCTCTCGGCCGCCGCCTTGGCCGCCGCATGCTCCTCGAAGGCGCGCACGCAATCGGCGCTGCCCTCCTCCTTGGCAGTCTGCAGCGCTGTGCAGCCAGCCACCGAGCGCAGTTCCGTGTCGGCGCCCGCCCGCAGCAGGCAGAGCAGGACGGCGGGGTGGTCCCTGACAGCGGCAAACATCAGCGCGGTGACGCCGGCATTGTCCTGCTGGTTGATCTCCGCGCCGTGAAGCAGCAGCAGCTCGGCCACCCGCTCGTGGCCCAGGAGGGCGGCGCCCATCAGCGCGGTGTTGCCGACGCTGGTCTGAAGGTTGATCTCCGCGCCGTGCTGCAGCAGCAGCTCAACCACCCGCTCGTTGCCGCAGGGCGGCGGCCAGCAGCGCGGTGCGGCCTTTACTGTTCCGAAGGTCGACCGAAGCGCCACGCTGTAGCAACGCCGCGGCCAGCCACTCGCGGCCGAAGAGGGCGGCGACCATCAGCAGCGTAAAGCCGCTCGCACCCTCATTAGCGAAAGTCGCGTCCACCCGCCCGCCGCCGTTGAGCCACGCCAGCACCGCCTCGCCGCCTTGCTCAGCCGCCTCCACGACCTCCTCGGGGACGGCGTCCTCGCCCGTTCCGCTCTCCACGCCGCCGGAAGAGGACGCGGCAGTTGGTGCCGCCGCCGCCCCCTTGCCCGAGGCGGCACCGCCGTCCGCCCCCACGCCGCCCGCCTCGACCGCCGCCGCGTCGCGCCTCTCCGCCGCCACCTCGCCGAGATACGTCTTGACGGCGGCGACGCACTCGGTGTGACCCTTCTCCTTGGCGATCTGCAGTGCCGTGTTGCCCGCCGCAGTGCGCAGCGCCATGTCTGCGCCTGCCCGCAGCAACTGGAGCACGACGGCAGCACGGTCGGAGAAGGCGGCGTTCGTGAGCGCAGTGTAGCCGTCGCCGTCCTGCAGGTCGACCTCTGCCCCGTGCCGCAGAAGCAAGACCACGCGCTCGTGGCCTTGGTGGGCAGCGAACATCAGCGCGGCGACGCTGCCGCTGTCCAGAAGGTTGGTCTCCGCGCCGTGCCGCAGCAGCGTCTCGACCACCTGCACGTGGCCTTCCTGGGCGGCGGCCATCAGCCCCGTAGTGCCGTTGCTGTCTTGCGCGTCCGGCTTCGCGCCCCGCTTCAGCAGAACCTCGACCAGCTGCTTGTGACCGTGTCCGGCGGCGGTCAGCAGGAGCGTCCAGCCACTCACACCTCCACGCACGTACGTCGCGTCAGCCCGCCCGTCCCCGGCGAGCCACGTCTGCACCACGCCCAACTTGCCGTCCTTCGCCGCGGCTTGGATCTTTTTCGGCAGCGCGAGCGACGCAGCCTGTGGCGCCGTTGAAGCGTGGGAGGCGGCTGAGCCAGCTTTTCGGCCCGGCATGGAGCGGGGGCTCGAGAGCAGCTGGCGCGTGGAATAAAGAAATTGCTGACGGCGATGTGTAAGGAACTGCACTCCAAGTGCTCCAAGTGCTGGGCGCTCCCGCCCGGTGTACTGAGAACGGGGACGTGGGAGAGAGAGACTACCCTGCGCCCTCCTCCTCCGCCGCCGCCCCGAGCCCCGTGCTGCCTGAGCCACTCCCGCGAGCGCAAGTCCGCCTGTCTCACTGGCTCGGGGATGCGATGCCTCGAGCAGCGGCGGACCACGCCGAGGGCCGACGGGAGGGAGAGGCCGTGCCCGGACCGACACGACGACTGGGCGAATGCCGCCCACGGCGCTTGCCGGCTCGGACGTGCGCAGCAGCGCGCCTGCAAAAGAAGGGCCTAGGACTAGCCTCACACGCCGCGTGCCCTGTCGCCTGTTTGTGTTGTTTCTGCTGTTGATTCTGGGTCTTGGCACTGTGCGTTAGAAACACAACACGGACGAATGTTTCTCTTTGGGACAGCTCTTTGGGACAGCAAGACAGCATGGGGAAAGAAGAATTCTTAAAGTACAAGCCTCTCTCACAGCACGTTGGATTCGAGCTGTTTGGGGGGAAAGGGTATGGGGTAGGTTCCCGATCGGCGGGCTACCCCCTACCCCCCTACCCCTCGACACGTGTCCAGGCACAAGGGCTACCCCCTACCCCCCTACTCACAGGTCTCCAGTGTCCAGATTGCTGTAACGGTAGTTTTGTCGGACAGCGTCACGCCGTCACCTCACGCCCTGCCGCCCCTCCGCGCGCCCGCGCACCCCCTACCCCCAGGTGCCTCCAGAAGCCGTAACGTCGCCCACGCTGCCCCTCCGGCTCCGCGCGCCCGCCGCCCGCGTCTCACGCAAATCCGACGATGAGCGATGTGCCGACTATGGAGGACCCGTCACCAGACGACGCAGGGCGGACGACGGGGAGGCGGAGCAGACGCGCAGGGCGAGACGAGGGAGGGAGCAGGATGTTGCGGAGATCAGCAGGAGGATGTACGACGAGATTAGGAGCAGCAGGGACCCGAGGGACCATGTGGAAGACGGCTAGTGCTAGTCCCCCATCGGGAGGACGACCCCGGCTATAGTCGCCGACCACACCCACAAAGAACCCTGCACAAAGACCGCAGGGCGGGGACCGGTTCCTTTTTACCCATCTCCTAGCAGAGGTGTCCGTTTTATTTATTTATTTATTCGGTTGGGCTCGGCGCGCGACGGACTTCACACAAAAACACAACCACGGACCCAAGACGCACAAGCTCAGACAGTCGAGAGACTTCACAGTAACGTAATTCACAGTTCGGCCAACAAGCCCTCACACCGGCACCCCCTACCCCCCTACCCTCCGTCGGGCCCCGCTGACCCTCCTACGCCACAACCCCGACCCTACCCTACTCGAGTACGAGACGGACAGCTCGAATCGCCGAGAACTCAAGGGACGCCACGCTGGCAAGTGTTGCGAGCAAGAGGGATGGATGCCAGGTTCTCGGTCTCGCTCGCTGTCACTCGCTCTCCTCCTCTCTCTGCTCCTCGCCCTGGCCGCCCTCCACGCCGCCGTTCGCGCACTCCGCTCTCGCTCCTCAACGGCCACCGCCACCACTGCCTTCACCGCTCCCCGCGAGGCAGCCGGCCCGCTCGGCGGCCGCTTCCCAGCGCCGCCGGCCAGCCTCACACTGACCTTTGGCACCGTCGGTCTCAAGGACTTTGTGTCCAATTGGCTGTGGCACGCGGCGCGGGTGCGGCCGCGGCTCTCGTATGGCGTCATCGCGCTCGACGACGAGCTGCGCCACCTCTGCGACGTGTGGGGCGAGCCGGCCATATCCGCCCGCCGGCTGCTCGCCGGCGGTCCCGCCTCGGTCGACGCCGCCTTTGCCGCGCTCGGCGGCGGCTACGTGCGCGACGAGCGCGGTAAGTTCAAGCAGCTCGGCTACCTCAAGGCGCTGGCTACGGCACGGCTGCTCGAGCTGGGGTTCGACGTGCTGCTCAGCGACGCAGACGCCGTATGGCTCGGCGATCCGTGGCCGTGGATCGGCAGCCGCGCGGGCGGCCAGCCGTCGGCCGACGCCGGAGACTTGCCGCTCGCTGACGTGCTCGCCTCAAACGACATGCCCGACTTGCGGCGCGATGGGCAGCCGGACTCGGTGTACAACTCGGGCGTGGCCTTCTTCCGCGCCTCGCCGGGCGGCAGAGGCGGCCGCGCGCGCCGCTTCGCGCTCGAGTGGGCCAACCGCACGCTCGCCACGGTCCCGCCTCGCGCGCGACGGCAGCCGTGCATGCATGTCAGCACCCGCCCACGCGTAAGGTTGTGAGCAGGGCGTCATCGGCAACGATCAGACCGAGTTCAACCGGCTGCTGCGGAACCGGTACATCGACGGCGACTACAGCTGCAACCGGCCAGAGTGCCTCGCGCGGGACCCCGGCATGTACGTGCCGTACTCGGCCGAATGGGTGTGCGACGGCGGCGGCGGCGGCGGCGGCGGCGGCGGCGGCGGCGGCGGCGGCGGCGGCGGCGGCGGCGGGTCCTCCGCCGCAGGCTGCCGGCCCTGCGGCTGGCGGGCGACTCCGGGCACGGCCGACCCGTACACGGGCTTGCAGGCGGTGGAATTGCCGCGGCAGAGCGAGGCGTGGCGGCGGTGCGAGGCGGAGCAGCGGCTGCTCTGCTGCGCGGGGCGCAAGCCGCGCTTGCCTGCGCGGCGCGTCTACTGGATGTGGGGCGGGCGCGTGCGGTTCGGCCTCCTGCCGGCCGACCGGTTCCTGCAGGGCCCAACCTACTTTGTGTACCGGCTGCACGAGCAGCGCGCTGTGCCGCCTCTGCACGTGCACGTGACGTACACTATGGGCGGTGGGGAAGGCAAGCGGTCGAGGCTGCGCGCCGCGGGGCTGTGGCAGGCGCTGCACCCGCGCCCGCGTAGACCTCCAGACCTCCCTCTGACCGCGCTTGCGTTGCTCTCGCGCCAGGCAGCGTCGCGCACGGGGGCGCATGCGGCCGGCAGCGCGGCAGGCAATTTCGCCGGCGGCGCCGGCTTTGTGCGGGTGACCGGCCTCGATGCGTTGCTGCTCTCGCTGCTGGATCGCATGCGGCTGCCCCCAAAGGTGTGGGAGTGCGACCCTCCCCCCACCGACGCGGAGCGGGAGCGAGGCCACTTGCCCGACCAGCCGTCCGCCTTCTTTGCCCTGGAGGGCGGCGCGGGCAGCGCATCCCGCTGCTACCACCCTCGCCACCTCGTCCTGGGCGGCCGGGCCGAGGCGCCGCCCGCCTTTGACTATGCGCGCGCGCCCGACCCGGCGGCTCCGCACGTCGCCATGCAGTACGTGCAGCGGTCCGTGCTGCGCAACGCGCTCGCACTCGCTTCGGCGCTCGGGTGGCAGCTGGTGCGGCCGAGGCTCTGGGCGCTGTGCGAGCGGCACTGGTGGCACCTCAAGGACTGCCGGCTGCCGGGCAACCCGCTGCCGATGCCGTACGAGGCGCCGTACGACACGCTCTTCAACCTCGAGGACTGGAACCAGGCCGGGGCGGAGGACGGAGCGGCGGCGGGCCCCATCCAGCTGGCAGAGGAGGGCGAGGTGCGGGGCCTCGAGGCGCGGAGGCTGCACCTCCTTCCGCCGAGCGACGGAGGCGGCGGCGCTGCGGGCGGCAGCGTCAAGGGCGACCTCGTCCTCCCCCACGGCACCTCGTTCGACGCCGCAGCGCGCTTCCTCCGGCCGAGGCTCGGCAACGCCTCCGGCGGCCGGCGCGCAGTTGTTGAGCTCGACGTGCGCTCGCTGCTGCGCTTCTCGCCGTGCGGCTTTGACGACGAGGCCGCCGCGGCGCGCTTCCAGCGGCGCGTCGTCGAGCGGCTCTTCCGCGGGCAGTACTCGTACTGCGGCGAGGAGCGCAACCCGCACGTGGACGCGATGCTGGCGAACGCGCGCGCCAAGCACCAACCCGAGGAGCCGCTGCTCATGACGCGCCGCAATTGCACGGGCCAGCCCGCAAACGACTTCAACAAGCCGAAAGTGGACTTGGGCCCTGAGGCGCTGCGGTACCTACCTCGCGGCGCGTGTGGCGAACGCACGGTGGGTGGCGGCAGCGACGATGGCGCCGAGGCGACCCTGAAACGGGGCGTGGCGTTTGTAAGGCTCTCGTAGTACGTAAAGCCGTGATCCGTTTCACCGGGCCGCACCGCGGGGCGTCATAACCGAACCGAAAGAGAAATTGCACTGAATTACGAAACAAAATCTGAATTACGCCGCGTGTTTGATCTGAAGTCACGGCGAATTCAGTGCGGGCGCGCCTGGCGGCAGTGGCACCGCCCAGCGAGCGAGCGAGTGCGCGCGCGTGACGTATGGTATGGTGTGACGCGAGAGTCGAGAGACGTGACGCCTGACGCTGACCGCTGACGCACGTGTCCACGAGAATCTCCCCGTGCGTGCGTCCAAATAAATATCGATCGGCCATCTCGCGGCAACTCGGAGCGAAATTTTAGATTTAGTTTCTCACATGCAAGGGTTGGTGCACACAAGTTGAGCGCAGCAGTGTACTAGTCTATCCCTAGGTCTGCGCGCGTCTCTGCGGGCGCTTGCTCTTCAAGACAGAGGCCCGTGTTCCCGACGAGGCCGATTCCCGCCGCCGGTGGGAAAAAAGATTGCGGGGTGACCAGTCCTTGGGCCAGCCCCGAAATGGCCGGCATCGCCCCAAAGCGTAGGCCAGCAACGGCGGCGTTCGCCTGTGTCTGCGCCTGGAGCTGCTCCCGCTGCAGCCCCAGCGCCACCGCCGCTGCCGACGAGGGGCTCGGTGCTGCGGGAAACGGCCGCACCGGTGCCGGTCCCGCGGTGGGGAGCATGATGCCCTGCAACGCGGCATCGTGCGCCTGCTGCATCTGCTGCACTGTCCTCGCCTGCAGCTGCGCGGCCCGCCCCTGCTGCTCGCTGCGCGCGCTCTCGTACTGCTGGAAGAGCTGCGCCTGGTGGTGGAACTGCGCCTGCGCCTAGAGCGGGACCGGGGTCCGGCTTAGGGCAACGGCATCTGCTGGAACGTCGGCACGAGGATCCGAACTGCCTCCCGCGCTGCTGCCTCCCTCTTCGCCTGGACCGCATCCCTCGCAAACGCCTCGCGCGCCAGCTCCTCCCTGCGCGCCAGCTCCTCCCTGCGCGCTTGCTCCTCCCGTCGCGCCATCTCTTCCCGTTGCGCCTGCTCCCGGCGCGCCAGCTCCTCCCTGCGCACCTGCTCCTGGCGCATCTGCTCGTCCCTGCGCGCCTTATCGCGACGCGCCTGCTCCTCCAGCTGCTGCATCGCCCATGCCGTGGCCTCCCTCTTCACCTAGAGAAGAGGAGCGGAGTTTGCCTCGTGCATTGCCACATCAATTCAAGGGCTCGGCAGCAATCGCCTGCGCCTCCCTCGCCTGCGCCGCCTGCGCCGCCTCGCTCACCCGCCTCAGCTGCTGCACCTCCAAAGCCCGCTGCGTCAGAGCTTGCTGATACGCCGCCGCGCCGGGCTGAGGTGGCAAATACGCAGGGTGCGGCTGCGGCGCGAACCCGGCCGTGTGCGCATGCTGCTCCATTTTTTCGGGTACGAGATGCCATGTGGCGATGCGACCGCAGCCAGGAGTCGACGGGGATTGTGCGAATCCCGCCTGCGCTTGGTGGACCTGCTGCGCCTGCTGCTGCGCCTGATGATGTGCCTGCAGAGCGAAGCAGCGCGTCGGTGGACGGTCAGGGCGCGGTTAGGTAGGGGAAAGGGCTGAGCGAGGCTAGATTGAAGTCAGAGCTACACGTGTGGAGTCAGGGCCGGACAGCCACCTGCCACTGCGCATGTTGCCACTGCGCAGCTTGTTGGTAGTATGCAGCGGCGTGTGCCATCTCGGCCGATTGTTGCGCTGGCAGCGGGACCGCGCAAGGCAGATCGGCGGGCGGCACGGAGGATTGCGGCGGCAGTGGGACAGCACAAGGCAGATCGGCGCGCGGCACAGACGGCTGCGGCAACGGGATAGCGTGAGGTAGCGCGGCGGGCTGCGGCGGTGGCAAAACGGCGGGCGGAAGTGGGCGGGGCTGAGCCGCGTCATCGTCGATCGGCGGCAACTCGATTCCGCTCTCTGCCTGGAAGTTCTGTCGGATCGCGTCAGCCGTTCGAGCGACCGCCATTCGCTCCCAATACACACGAGGCGGCTCGGCGGAGCTGGACGCCGCGCTGTTTTTTTGCTTGGGCGCCGGCCCGGGAGGCGGCCCTTTCCGCTTCAGCTTGCTCCTCTCCGCCACTGCCCGCAAAATCTCCTCCTCCCTGAGCTTTCGCTCGCGCTGCTCCGCGCCCTCCGTCGCCGCCGCCGCAGCGCGCCTCGCCTTCTCCGCCTCCTCGTCGCGCTTCGCCTCGGCGGCCGCCTGACAACAAGTTGCGGGCGCGCTCAGACCGCTGTGACGGCGACGCGGCCGGCGCTCGAGCGCTGCGCCGCCTCGGCCCTCTGCGCCTTGCGCTGCTCCTTCTTCTCGCGCTCGCGCTCCCTCTCGAGCTCAAGCTCGCGCTCGCGCTCCGCCTGAGCCGCAGGGGTGGAGCCGCAGGGACGGAGGGTGAGGTCGGACGCGACGACAGCCGGGCCGGAGCGGGCGAGGGGGCGTCAGGCGAGGCGCGCCTGCAAGCGCCGCGCCTCCGGGCCAAAGAGCGGGAGGCCGTCTCCTACCTCCGAGGCCTCCGGCACACCCCCCTCCGCGCGTTCGCCGTCCGCGTGGGTCGGCGGCGGCGGCTCGAGCGGCGGCGGCTCGAGCGGCGGCGGCTCGAGCTCGTGCGCGCTGCTCTGCTGGGCAAGCTGCTCCTCGCCGTCCAAAACGACGATCTGCTCGCTCGACGCCGTCGCTTTCGCCTCGGCGCACGGCCTGCAGACGTACGTTTCGAGGTCCTCCGCCTGTCCGAGCACGCGGCGGCAGGTCGGGCGATTGGGTGGAGGGGAGTCGGGCCGGAGGGGGTGTGGTGGTGGAGGCGGTCGTGGCGGGGGCGGAGTGGCGGAGTGGGGAGGGGTGGCGGGGGCGGCCGGGCGGCGGGGTGGCAGGGTGGGGGCGGGGGGGGTTGAGTCTGCGTGTTTGCAGCGTGGCGCGTGCCTGCGCCGAGTCGTCCACACCCGCGCACTCGCCGTGGCACCACCTGCCGCAGTCGTCGCACGAGACCCAGACGCCGTTGAAGGTCATGCTGCTGCTCGGCAGGTGTCGCTCTGTGCCGCAAAAACAGCCGAGCGACTCCTCCTCAACCTCCTCCTCAACCTCCTCCTCTGCCTCGGCCCCCGCCGGAGCCGGTTCGACGCGCCCAGCGTGGGCGGCCAGGTACGCAGAGGCGGGGAGCGAGGCGGCCGCGGGGCGCGCCGGCGGCCGCGACACGCCCGTCAGCTTGAGCCGCACCCGGCGCGACCCGACGCACGCGCGCTGGTGCCTCGTCTTTGCGGCGACATTTCCAAAGACAGCTCCGCACTGCGTGCACCGCGACGGCAGGAGATGCGGCGGCAGCTCCTTCGCCAGGGGCGAGCCACGCCCGCCCGGCCAGCCGCGCCCGCCGCGCCCCCCCCTCCCGCCGCGCCCGCGCGCGCCCGTCCGCGCGTGGCTCGACAATGGGCTGGCGCCAGTGCGCCACGCGGCGACAAGCTCGGGCGACAAGTTGGCCTCGGGCTCCCAGCTATCTGCCGAGGGGCCCCACCTGCGCAGAAGGGACGGGGGACAGGGGGGGGGGGGGGGGGGGTCAGCGCCCATTCCCCCCCGGAGAGGCTCCCCCCCACACAGGCACACAACCGGGGGCGCGCGCGCCCGAGCCAGCGGACCACGATCTCGACTGGCCAGCCTCGGCTCCGGTCCTTGAGAAGCCGCTCGACGGTTACGATCAACCTCGCGATCGTCCTCC